GACTGGCCTTGAACTCATTGTGTAGCCCAGGCCGGCCTCAAATTTGAAGCAATTCTCCTGCTTTAGTTTCCTGAACACTAGGATTATTAGGCATGTGCCACCACACCCAGCTTTCCATGAGATTCTTAAAAGATTAGGAGCTACTACTCAGTGGTGTTTATAAAGTCAAGAGGTTCCTAGCAGGGTGTGGTCTTTCATGCCTGTAATCTCAGCTCTGAAAGGCTGATGCAGGAGGATCTCAAATTGGAACTCAGTCTAGGTAAGTAGAGACTTAGCAAGACCCTGTCTCAAAACAAAAATAAAAAAGGCTGTAGACATAGCTTGTTACAGATGCTCTGGGTATAATCCCCAGTACTGGAAAAAAAAAGCCAAGAGATTCTTTACTATTCAGTTGCCACCAGGACTTCCCCAAATAACCATAGATCTCGGCTTCGTACTGGGTACACTGAGGCCTCTGGATTTTTTTCAAAGCTTAGCTCTGTCCATCCGGGGATTTAGCTCAGTGGTTCCGGCGCCTGCTGCAAAAGCGCAAGGTCCTGAGTTCAATCCCCAGTACCAAAAACAAAAAACAAACAAACAAAGCTTGGCTCTGTCTTTGGTCCACTTGACTTTCAAGATTTCCTTGGTCTACTTGGTAGAGAGGGGAAGTTTAGGTATGCATCTTGTTTCCCTTTGTGAGCTCTCCCCAGCCTTTCTGTATTCTGGATTTTCCTTGCTAGGCTGTAGCTGTATTAACCATTTACAGCTTGCTTAGGGTCCAGATTCTTCCCTTGGCTTTGCTTTCTGGTACAGTCAAAAGGCATTTCTTTTTTTTTTCATTAAGTTTATTGGTACATTTTAGGTATACAATACAGTTACATTCATCACTGGGATCTTGTACCTTTACATGATGTATTTTGGTTCTTATTTTTTCCCCATTCCCCTGCCCTCCCTTCAACCCCTCCCCCCCCCATCTATAGAAACTTTGTTTCCATTTTTTCCTTTTCTCATATTTTTTCCTTTCTCTTCTTTCTGTGCCCCTACTCCTACTTCCCCTTCCCCTTTAGACTTTTTCTTCGTATTTCACATTATCAATTATACATTCAAAAGGCATTTCTACCGACAGTGCTTTCTTATTCTTCCTGTGTGGCTTCAGTATCTGTATTCTATTCCTTCTGATTCTTTACAAACAGAATTCAGCTTGGTCCCATTAGCTTTCAATCAGAGCCTCATTTTGTGATCCAAATAGGGACAGGAATGGGATAGCTAACTGTATAGGGTCAAGGAAAATCTCATATATAGAAAAATTTCTGTTGCTGGGCTGGTTATGGTGGGACATGCCTGTAATCCCAGGTATGCAGGAGGCCAAGCCAGGATGATCACAAGTTCAAGGTCAGCCTGGGCAAAATAGCAAGACCTGATCTCAAAATTACAACAACAACAAAAAAAAAAGAAAAGAAAAGAAAAAAAGAGAGTATGACCATTCCTAAAATCCATTGACTCAGGGTCCCATTGCAACTGAGCCTAGGGTACCTAGTTAATTCTGTTTATTGACAGCTGGGGAGAGGCTAGAATTGACTAGGATTTAAAGGCTAGGATTTAAAGGTAGCTGCAATTTATTAATCACCTCTGTTGGGATCCACTAGGGCAAAAGATAGAGACAGGACAGAAGGAGGTGAATCAATCATTGCTTAGGGCCTTGGAGCTAGCGTAGGCTGCCTCCCAGCCAAGCCTCACTCATTGTATGCCTCTTCTCTTTGGCAGTCCTCTCTGGGAGATGGTGCAGGATGGCATTGACCTCAAGAGCATCAAGTGGACTCAACACTAGAAGAATATGCCCCTTACTCTGTGCTAGCCTGGCTCTTCCTGCCTCACTGACCCACGCACGTCTGGTATTTTTTTATCCAGGAGGTGCTCTTTAGTCAAACTGAAATTGTTGTATCCCAGTTGACTTTAGCACAGCCCACTTACAAGTCTAAAACACAAGGAAAATATCTTTCCCCAGCCTCAGCAACTTTGCTGGGGCATAGTCCCAGTTTCTGTTCAAGAGTTCTTTTCTGGTCTTACAGTGTGTAGACATTTCCATCTTGAAGCAGTAGAGACATTTGCTGTAATATTGCTGCTGGACATATCTGTTACCTTTGTGGGTCACATAGAACTAGATGAAGGCTTTTTGTCCATGGACTGATGTTCTGTGTGGACATTTGAATTCCTTTCTGCTGCTCAGCTGGACTGGCTCCTTCTACAACAAGAATAATCAATTCCTTTAATTTGTGTGTGTTGTGTGTGTCCAAAGGACTTTTTTTTTGTACTGGGGATCGAACTCGGGACCTTGTGCTTTCAAGGCAGGTGGCAGAACCTCTGAGCTAAATCCCCAACCCATCAAAGGACATCTTTTTATATTGTCTGTAGACCAAACAGCAAGTATCTTAGAAAGCTTATTTCCTTTCTGTTCTCATATTCCTTCTTTTCTTTTTTTTTCTTTTTTTGGTCCTGGGGATCAAACATGGGACCTTGCGCTTTCGAGGCAGGCGGCGGCACCACTGAGCTAAATCCCTGACCTTACCTTCTTTTCTTTTAATGGAGCTAGAAATATCTATATGTTTACATATATTCTAATAATTTATGTTTCTTTCTTTAATATTTGGTAATTTTTCCAGGCTTGGTGGCTCACACCTGTAATCCCAGCAGGATTACATGGCAGGGAGGATGGCCATGAGTTCAAGGCCAGCCTGGGCTACAAAGGGAGACCTTGTCTCAGAACACACTCACAAAAAAATTTTTAATTTGAAGATTGGAGAAATAAACTGATCTTCTGTTTACTCTGGTGCTGTATAAGAATCAGGAGGAGAAGTTGAAGCTGCACTTGGGAATTGTGGAGAAGACCACCACTCTACCTGATTTCCATAGATGATTCACTTAATTTGCATATATCTTCATTCAACAATTATTTAAATACCTATCAGGACCCAGACTTTCTTCAGGGCGTTGGGGGAGAAACTAGTTAATAGGAACAAAAAGGACTTCACCGTTATTGAGCTTTTGTACTAGTGGAGAACTGTAAAATAACTATACAAAGACTTACAGATTGTGACAAGTCCTATAAATGAAATAGAGTATTATGACTAAGTAGGGAGAAGTGGTGCTGAATCTTCTTGGAAAGCTTTTCTGAGGAGGTAATGCTTAAGCAAAAATGTAGAGTTAGAATAGCTCATCTACAGATGAGTAAGGATGAGAAGAAACAGAAGGAGCTTGGCATGTGTAGAAGTACAATGTGTTTGAGAAAACAAGAAAAAGCCAGTGCAAGTAGAGTAGTTTTTCCATTTGTGGTCTGAACACATATGTAGATAGTTATAAAAAAAGAGAAAAAATAAAATGTTAAGAGTTCAGAGCAAAGCGTGAGCATGGTGGCATATACCTGTAATCCTAGTGCTTGGGGGGCTGAGGCAGGAGGATTGCCATGAGTTCAAGACCAACCT